AATCCACACCTTGACACATCTATCTATCAAGTGGAGTTCGAGGATGGGAAGGTGGAAAGCTTCTATGCAAATCAGATTATTGAAGGGATAATGATGAATGTCGATGATGAAGGTAACACGATGTACCAGATTCGCGAATTTATTGATCATCAACGTGATGGACGAGCAGTTAAAGGGGACAACGGATGGTATACTACCTCCAACGGTCTCAAGCGTCCACAAAAGACAACTAAAGGATGGAAATTATTAGCTGAAATGAAAGGTGGAGAAACCAAATGGCTTGATCTATCAGTAGCAAAAGAAGCGTTTCCTATTGAGGTCGCTGAACATGCTGTTGCAAACAAGCTTGTGTCAGAGCCTGCCTTTGCGTGGTGGGTTCCCTACACTCTAAGGAAGCGTGATCGAGTTTTGAAAGCTGTTAAGCGCCATGCTGTGAAAAGACAGAAGCCAGAAAAGTTTGGTATTGAAGTGCCTGGTCCTGGGCCAAAAGGTGTTGCACGTGTGTATGAACTTGATTCTGAGAATGGTACCTCGCATTGGAATGATGCTTTGATCAAAGAGGTCAAGACAATTCTGTCAGCTTTGAAGATTCTGGAAGAAGATGAAGATGTTCCCGTTGGATACCAGCTCATTGAGCTTATGACTGTCTTTGATGTCAAGATGGATCTCACATGGAAGGCACGCATATGTGCTAGAGGGGACCAGACTGACCCTCCAATGTCTGTCACCTATGCAAGTGTTGTGACAAGGGAAAGTATTCGACTTGCTTTTGTTATTGCTGCTTTGAATGGTTTGAATGTTTTGAGTGCTGATGTCTCCAGTGCATATCTGAACGCCAAATGTGCCAAGAAAGTTTATTGTATTTTAGTGAAGGAGTTTGGAGAGTATGCCAGGAAGAAAGCTATCGTAGATAAGGCCGTTTACGGACTCGAAAGTTCGGGATTCGCATGGAGGAGCCTCTGTGCAGACGTTTTGAAGGAACAATTGGAGTTCCAACCATGTCGCGGAGATATGGATGTTTGGCATCGTCCTTGTCAACGCAAAGATGGTTTGAAGTATTATGAGTATATTTTAGTCTATACTGATGATGTCATTGCAATTTCGGAGAATCCAAAAGCTATTATGGACAAACTCAACAATTTCTTTGTGTTAAAACCTGATTCAATAAAAGAGCCAACCACGTATCTTGGTGCAACAATCTTGAAGCACAAGTTGGATGGTGATGATTATTTCACCTGGGCTATTGGATCCAAAGCATATCTACAAGAGTCATTACGAGTTGTCAAGAAGCGAATTGCGCCAATGCAACTGACTTTGAAGAAAAAGGTTTATTCAACTTTACCCACTGGATACAAGCCGGAACTTGATTCTACTCCTTTTGTCAATGATG